AGAGAGAGATGAAGACACAGAATCTGAAGCAGGCTCCAGGCTTTGAGCTGTCAGCACAGCCCGACGCAGGGCTCGAACTCACGAGCTATGAGATCATGACCTGAGCCAGTCAGATGCTCAACCGACTGAGCCACCCCAGGCATCCTAGTTTCTTCTTTTTTAACACCAGATAATTATATGCATAATCAATTCATCCAAGGCACACATGTTGGAAAAGTAATGGTGGGGGGGGGGGGCGTGGAAATAAAGGAGGGAAGGAAAGAAAGAGGGAGAGGAAGGAGAATCAGAGACAAGCGGACCACCAGGAAGGCCAAAAGAGGCCGTCCTAGGAGCAAGGCCCAGATGGCACTTACATAAGCAGATGGCAGCCAGGAGTCGAAGGCCAGACTCTGGGGGGAAGCAGGTGGGGAAGAGAGGCTGCAGCACATAGTTGGAGAAGGTGAGGGCGATGACAGCCTGGTTGGTGGGGTAGATCACCAGCACCGCAATCCAAAGCCTCAGGAACCTGAAGGGGGAACAGGACAGAACTTGACCCAAGACAGCCACAGAGACTCCCACCCCAATGACATGCATGGCAGGGATTCAGGAGTCATCAAAAGAAACCTGGGCAAGTCACTGGGCAGTAGAGGTGGGTGGGCTAAAGGGGTACGTTTCCTTTTCATTTTCAGGGATGCTGAGGACCCTAACCCCTGCTCAATGAGACAGTTGGCCCTCTGCAATGACAATAAAGTGGTTTGACGACGAGGAGCTAAGTGTCTGCTAGTGCGAACACATGTCTCGGCATTCTTCTCTCTCCCCTCTCCTTTTATCATCTCTTCTCTGAGCCCTGGCTCCTAGAATCCAGTGGTGGAAAATAAAATAGGCAACCTGAGAATTCTGACAGCCAGGACATGCTTAGGGTGTGGCCACTTTAAGCAACTGCCAGGGGCGGCACTGAGTGGGGGCATGAGGGGAAAGTGCCCTCCACATTCTTGGCCCCCTGGTAAGGGTTCAGCTCCTCAGTAGCAGGACTGCAGAAGCTGAGGAAATTCAAGATCAGGGGCTGACTCTGCTGGGAGGCCTCATCCTTGATAGTGTGAGAAGAGGGTACCCCATTTCTTAGGTGGTCACTCTAATTTGTAAAACAAAAAGGCTTTGTTTTGTGATGTGCTTTCTCTGTGAGTCTATGGTCAGAGTTGTCATAAAGCCCAATTTGTTACCACTCATAGAATCTTGCCCACTGAAATCAACAAAGAGGTAAAAATACAACCTGGTTCTTCTGCCATCCTCAGAAGAATCAAGGGGACACACAGCTACATTAGTGACCATGACAGGGAAGCAAAAGAGGAATCCTATTCTTTAGCTCTCCTAGGCACACTGGAAACCACTGGCCTTGGCTTCTAGACAACACAGGCCTTTGTGGGTCCTCTTACCCAGCCAGTCCTCCAAAGATGTCCTTGACATAGGAGTAGTCACCTCCAGATTTGGGGATGGTGACACCAAGCTCAGCATAGCACAGGGCTCCCACAGCTGTGATGAGACCAGTCACAATCCAGACAATGAGAGCAAGGCCCACAGAGCCGGCGTTCTCCAGCACACCTTTTGGCGAGACGAAGATCCCAGAGCCAATGATGTTCCCTGCAGGAGGCACCAAGGTTGTCAGGGAAGACAGTGGAGTCAGCACAATTGGCAAGACTGGCATTTACAGCAGTGGTCTCATCTCTGGTTTGATCCTAAAATGCCTTTGGAACACACCTTCAGGCAGGTGTGTCTAGTAATAATTTACATGTCTCCTTTGGTCCTCAGGATACCCCTATGGAGTCAGATATAATTTTATCCATTTTACAGAGGAGGAAACTGAGTCTCAGAGATATCAAGTGCATTGTCCAAGTCTACATGGTAGCAAGTAGTGGCTCAGGTATTGAACTTTAAGACCCTCTTACTGGGCTACTCGAGGCAACAGAAATCTTAAGACTAACTGGAAACGGCAGGACTGGAAAAGCAATCTATTCCCAGAGACAATCTGCAGGGTAGAAAGCTTCAAAAATGAGCCTAAGGGCCATAAATTTTGTATAGATTGTGGTCATACCCCATGCCTGGGGTTTTTTAAGACCCAGGAGCATCGATAGCACTTCTAGAGGCTGGCTTTTACCCCAGACGTGACAGCCCCACCCTTGGTAAGAAATATGAAATAACCCTATAAAAACAGTCCTAGTAGCTTGGAAGTGGTTTGTAGGAGTGCAATACGTGCAAAGGTTCAGCACTATATTCTTCCAAAGGTCATTCCCCTCCATTGTTTCATGCGACCCTCACAAAAACCTTACGAAATTCAGGAAGAAGAGGAAGAATAGGTATTTCTCTCTTTATTTTACAAAAAGGCTAAGACATCGAGGGGTTAAGTGACTTTTTCCAAATTCCACGGCTACTGATGGGTAAAATTGGATCTAGAAGTCAGTCTCCTGATGCTTAATCCAGTGCATTTTCCACTAATCTATTTCTGCTTCTGTGTGCAGAAAGGCCAGCTTTCTCCTGAGAGGTGAGACGGGTAGCAAGGACTGAATAGTTGGCTACTGGGATGTGTATATTGGGCAGGGGAGGAACAGATGGGTGGGGGGAGCTCCTGACATGCTCCATCCCAAGCTTTCCTCTACTTCTTGTGATTCAAGGTGATCAGGGTGCACTGCACAGGTTCTTTGAAAGAAAGCTCTTTGAGGGCTGAGGGAAGAATCAGAGACTAAGTGAATGCAGGTAGAAAATCAGAACTGGAGTATTATGAGGCCAGCTTGGTTTGACAATGTTCTGAGGACATCTGAAACTCCCACCACCTCTCTTAGGGGGTTTGGAACCATATCTGGGCTGAACAAGATGCAGAGTATGAGATTTTACACTCAACTTTCAAAAACGACTTTCAGATCTCAACCACAACTCAACCTCAGTCCAGTCCTGGAACTTTCACATCTAAACCAAAATTCATGCATCTGGTTATTTCAGTGAAAGGGAACATTCTATTTCAGTGAATAGTCACATTCTAAAAATAATACATCCTTGGGGCCCCTGGGTGGCTCAGTCGGTTGAGCGTCTGACTTCAGCTCAGGTCATGATCTCACAGTTCATGAGTTCGAGCCCCACATCAGGTTCTGTGCTGACAGCTCAGAGCCTGGAGCCTGCTTCGGATTCTGTGTCTCGCTCTCTCTCTCTGCCCTCCCCCGTTCATGCTCTCTGTCTCGAAAATAAATAAACATTAAAAAAAATTGTTTTAAATAATACATCTTATTCCTCTTGGATAAAGAATGCTTTTCACACTAAAAAATTGCAGCTTCAGATGACTAATGGGAGAGGAAAGGGGTCTAGGCAGGTATGACAGCAGCAACCGTGAGACTGACATACAGCGTCTGCAGCTAGATTCAGATGGTAAGGAAACACATTTGTCTCAAACTTGCCTTGCTTCTGTGCAGATAGTCTATCCCAACAGAACCGGGCTAAATACACAGATGAAGCTAAAAGAAGTAACAATCCCTTATGTTCAGCTTTGTGATCTAAACATCAGGCAAAGAGAGATAGAAAAATGAGATTCTGGGCCCCATTAGTTCTTAAAGACTTTTCCTTTTCTTGTACATTTACTTAAAGTCCTACGGGGCACCTGGGTGGCGCAGTCGGTTAAGCGTCCGACTTCAGCCAGGTCACGATCTCGCGGTCTGGGAGTTCGAGCCCCGCATCAGGCTCTGGGCTGATGGCTCAGAGACTGGAGCCTGTTTCCGATTCTGTGTCTCCCTCTCTCTCTGCCCCTCCCCCATTCATGCTGTCTCTCTCTGTCCCCAAAATAAATAAACGTTGAAAAAAAAATTAAAAAAAAAAAAAGTCCTATGTGACAGGAACAGCCTCCCTCTCTCCTCCACCAGTCTCCATATGTGTTTTGCATGAAGGTTAGGCTAGTGGAGACTAGAAGGCCTTCTGGTAGTGTGCTAAGACTCAGGACACAGTTACCCTAGCAAGTGACCCTTAACTTGCCAAACGTAACGTGCTCCTGTCCTCTGAAAGACACCAAGTGCCGGGAGTTGAGAACAAGGGATGGAGTTGCTAACAATGCTGAAAAGTGATAGTAAACTCCTTGCCTAGCAGGAATTTATCAGAAAAGTAATTTGTAGGGCATTTCAAAGCCAGCCAAGAGGAGAGTAATACAGCTAGAGTTATAAAACTAGTTCAAGGGGTTAGAAAAATAATCAATACAGGAGAAAAACAAGGTTTGACTTTGGTCTTTAAGGTGTTGGAAAGGGAGGTGGAGGAATGGGTAGGTGTTTCTCCGAGCCAGGAAAGGCTGTCACAAGGAGGAAGTGGGAGTGAACGTTATCAAAGAGATTCCGTCTTCTCAGGAATTAAGTGTCAATGTTCCACCAAGGATTCTTGGAAAACAAATACTGCAGTGGGGATCTGTAAGCATTTCTGTTCTCCAGCCTTTGTTCTGGCATTTCCAGAGTGTGTGCTCCTTTTCTCATTCCAGAGGCAGGCAGCTGCTGGAAAATGGGATGTGCAACACCAACAGCCCTTTGCGAGTCTGATCACTTAACTGTGTCTCCTTATTCTTGGATAACATGTCCTTCTGTGGAGCTGCTGAGGTGATGGTGAGGGTCATAATGGGTTGACATTGGGACAAGAGTCTTTACTTTATAAAAATTTGACTCTACCCCCTGCCCTGAAATCTTAACTTTGACCAAACTAAAATTACAAAGATATAAGCTAAAAAAAAAAAAAAAAAAAAAATTATGCTAGCCAAAACAGAGTGCTAGAGAACAGGAAGAAGAGGAATGTCTCTCTGATACTAGGAAGCCGCTACCTAGAAAACCAGAATCAGATAACTTTTCCTCCACCTTAGTGGCCTCTGGAGCTTCTGCAGGGGAAGGAATGTTACACAGAGCTGTGTTCTGAAGCTGAAAGAACATTCACATTACATTTAGTCAAGAGTAATGCCTACTATTTACTGCATCCTCTCACTTGTAAAGTGTCACACAGTAGACACTCCATAAATGTTTACTGAATGAATGATGTCAGACATCCATCTAGAACTTATGTCCACAGAACAATTTAATGTACACGTTTCTTTGGAACCTCCAAATCCTGTAAAGTAGGTCAATTGTGTTTTTTAGGCAAATGAGTAAAGCAACCCACTTCTTTCACTGCTGAAGAGAGTGATCTGGCTATTATTACTGTCTCCAATTTATAGGGGAAGAAAATAGGGCAACTATTACTCCCATTTTCCAAATGGGAAAAAATGAGAGAGGTATTACTATCCCTATTTTATGGATGAAGAAACTGAGACCCAGAGAGGTAGTTATTTGCCTAAATCACAGAGTAGGTTAGTAGTAACTGGATTAGAACCTAAATCTTCTGTCACACAGCCTCAAGCTTTTCCCAGGAAATAGTCAGCTTTACTAAGATGATACTTATTAAGATAAGATGCTTATTAAGGAATTACAACACAGATCTGATTCCTTCTTTCTACTGTACCACCTTCGATGGTGATTTACAAAGTGTTCACATCCATTACTTTATTTGATTCTCAGAACTACTTTCTTAGGTGCACAGGGCAGGTACTATCATTTATATTTACCTTTGCTAAGACTGAGTTTTTTTTTTTTTTT